CGCACCTCCTAACTATTTAACAACGTCTATTAAAATTTCAATCTTAATATAAGTTAATTCAATTACACAAAATAGCCGATAACACTAAAATCACCAATATTTTTTACCATAATACATAGTCCATTTCACAGTAGTTATATTTTTCGGTGCTATTCTTTATAATTCTATTCACAAACAGTGAGTCAATGACTCCGTTGGAAATCGAACTCGGGAGAGTGTCCCACAAGATTTTGGAGATCACTCTTATTTTAAGATGTGGTTTTTCAACGTAGTACTCTGTTTAAAATTATTCTCTTTGTGGTCTTTTGTATTTAAGAATTACTCCCTATTACATAATAAGTTCTTGGACATTATATGTAAGAGAAATTTACTTAAATAGCACTAAAACATAATGACTTTTCCCAAATAGAACCACATATGTTTTTCTTCCCAATGTAACACTTTTAGAGCAGCTGCAGTGGCGAGGGATTTGGCTGCCATGCCACGCCACCTCAGCCTAAAGCTCCACTTTTTTCTTTTTGCCTCGCGTGCCATCTTCAATTTACCATGCATGGAGTGTCTTGAGCGTGACATTCTTTTTTTTATTTATTTTTTTGATAAAAAATAAACATCAATTTTTATTTGAGAAAGATATTTGTGATGAGTTAATGAAATTGTGCAATGGTTCCAAAAAAAAAAGATTTTTTTGTAAAGTAATAGAATTATTTTTTACTTTTTCATCTCGCAATAGATTATAATTTTTTCCCTCACCTCTCGATATCTTTTATTTATTTGTATGTTTTCTTTGTTTATTTAATTAAAAAAATTTTGTCACATCCTTTTTTGTAGAAATTTTGATGTAATTTTTAAATTTATAAGTTTTATTTTTAATTCTTATACCAATTTTTAAATGAAATGATTTTTAAAAATAGAGAGTTTTTGCATCGTAATTCTAAAATAATAATCTAAATTGAGATGGAGGAATGAAAAAATATGGAGTAGATAACAAAAACATTTTTAATAATTGGAATATATATAAAAAATTATTTATTTGAGTAAATAGAAATATTTTCATGATAAAAATATATAAGTAAAATAATTTTTAATAATTCAAATATGGCAAAAATATGAAAAAAAGTGATGAAAACATTGACTTGCCACTGCAAGGCATGCCACTCCACTCACGTGTCACTCGTTGACTGGACTGTTTTTTATTGGTTGAAATTCTCCACGTCAGCGTGTGACATTCCATTTTTGCCTCACCATTGTTCATGCTCTTAGTCATTATGCACTAGTCATTATTCAAGCAAATATTTGCCATCCCAGGACATTATGGATATTATTAAGTGCTATTTAGGGAATAAAACAATTTAAGTGTTATTTAAGGAAATGACTTAAGTTTTAGTGCTATTTAGTGCAAATATTTCTATATGTAATCCTCTCTATTTGATATTTTTTTAAATGACTTGCAATGAAACAAATTATCAAATATAGTCTCATATAGAGGATTAAGAAGAGAATAATTTGGAATAGAGGTTTATATTTTGAAACACACTTGATGGAGAATATGCCTCCTCACACTTGGGTCGTGACCAACGGCCAACCCAGGGATGGCAACGGATTGGGTTCGGGTCTGATAATACTACACTCAAACCCGACCCGACATTTAAAACCAAAACTCGAACCCGACCCTAAACCCGACATTTCAACCCGAAACCCGAACCCGACCCAACTCTTAACCAATAATCTATTCGACATACTCCAATAATTTTAAAAAGATTAAATCTATTTTTTTGTGTCTCTTTTTTTGTATCTCATTTTTTATTAAGGAATTATAATAAAGATTATAAAAAGCATACTTGATATAGTAACATTTTTCAAGAGATTATATGGAGTGCTCATTAAATACATAGATAAGCTTTTATGTTATAAAATATTCGGGATTGAGTCGGGTCGGGTGCGGGTTCGGGTAGGGTCGGGTAAAATTACAAACTCACACCCGACCCTACCCGATATCGGGTTCGGGTAAAAAAATTTGGGTTGGGTTCGAATTATTTAATTCTCGATTCGGATTTGAATATTTTAGTGGTTAGTCGGGCCGATTAAGCTCGGGTTCGAGTTGAATTGTCATCCCTTTACCTATGGAGATGGAACAATACCAAAAGGGGGCTTTGGGAAGCCCATGTCTAAAGTCACTCTAAAATAAGCTTATGATTTTGTTGAAATATTGAAATAATAATATTGTTCTCTTTGAATTATGAAGTATATGATAGAGTATATAAAGATGAGACTTCTAACACAACTAGAAATAGAAAATGAATACTAACTAAAATACAACATCTAACATAAATAAGAATAGGAAACTCACTAATAATCAAACACTGTTATAACCAATACTACTAGAAGTAATATTAGTATTATTGTCTAACATCCCCCCTCAAGCTGAACTCTGGCTGAAGCAAGAGAAAGCTTGGACACTAGCTGGAAACTGGAAACTTTGAAAGGAGAGAACTCTGGCGTGCGCCGGTGGCTGCTGACATCGTTGGAGAAGAGAGAAGTCTGGTGTGCGCCAGTGGCTGCTGACGTCGTTGGAGAAGGGAGAGGTATGACATGCACTGTTAGCTGCAGACAGCGTTGAAGAAGAGAGAAATTGACGTTCTCTGGTAGCGGCTGACGTCGAAGAAGAAGAAAGAAGGCTGACGCGCGCTTGTAACTGCTGACGTCGAAGAAGAATAGAGAAGGCTACTGGAGGTGTATGTTTCATTGAAGATCCTTGACATTCTTTGTCTTTTTCTTGGATCCGGGCAATGCCCTATTTCTTTCTTGAAGGGATGAGTTGTAGAGGTATTCTTTCCTCTTTCACTACTTTCCCTCTTGGCTCTGCTTTTGTGCTGATTTACTTTGGATTTTTATTAATTCAACTGAAGAGAAAGATAAGGGAGGTTGATAATTAGAATGCGTGATTTGTGAGAGAGAAAAAGTGAGTTGAGAATTGGTGATGGAAAAAAGATTTGGGTCTGAGATTTTGATATGGTGAATTAGAGAGAAACAGCTATCGGTTTTTTTTCCTTTTTTGAGAAGATAGGATGAGTTGAGGGAGTTTGTGTGGAATTGATTTTTTTTTTTTGAAGAACCATGGAGATGACAAGAGAAAAGTTTCTACTTTGGTGGTTTCTTTTTGTGATTTCAACAAGGTTTTTTTTCATTTGAATGGAGAAGTTGATTTGAGGATAAAAAAAGGAAAAGAAAATCGAAGTCAATAAGGTGGAGCCGCCATCGCCGGAATTACCGGCAGCGGCGGTGGAAGCAAAGAACTCTTTTAGGTCACCAAGAGCGGCGGCGGAAGCAAAGAATTCTTTTAGGTCACAATATTATTATTCCAATATTTCAACATGGTATCGGAGTCATCGCTTTTGGTGACCTAAAAGAGTTCTTTGTTTCCGTCGGCGCCACCGGTAATTTCGGTGACGGCGGCTCCACCCTATTCACCTCTATTTTCTTTTCTTTCTTTTATCCTCAAATCAACTTCTCTATTCCAATATTTCAACAGATTTCTTACCCCCTTCCTACACACGGTGAAGGGCAAAGTGTCTTACGTTATTTAAGCCTCCGGAATAGATAAGGGTAATTGTAGGCCTCGAAATTAGCTTGTTAGGAAGGTATTATGGAGCAAAATTTTGAATTTCTTGGCCCAAGATACATGATCAAAATACTAAAGATTGTTCAAAATTTAGTAGGTCATACTCTTGTGCTACAAATTTTGAATGCTTTGCTTTCAATTTGGTATATATATGAATATTTTGGCCATTTTGTACATGCTTTTATCCTCATGAACAGCAAGTGTAGGTATGGGCAACGAGCAAGACATATACAAGACATATGACAATGCTTACAAAGAGGCCATCCTAGAGGGCCTATGTCTCTCTAAGTAGGCCGACTTACCATCCACTAAGGGAGTCGGTCTCTGCATGTTGTTCGTCTCCCCTTGAAGGATCTCCCCATGTACGTGAGGGATGATATCCGTGAAAAGAGGAAGAGCATTGAGCTCCTTACGAAGGATGAGCATCGACTCGCCCACCTCGAGTTGGAGCAATATTTTCAATCTGTTTAATAATTGGTTTAATTTGTAGAATCAAAATTAAAATTTACGTATTTAAAAACTATATTATAAATTTTGCGAAATAAGAGATGATACTACTATATTATTTTATTAAATAAATAATGAAATAGATAAATAAAAAATTGATAAACTGTGTCTATGTATATAGTACTCCACAATTGAAAAATTTCTTCCGAATGGAGTAGTAATTAAGCAAAAGCATGCATGATACATAAGCAAAAAGGACACGGCAATCTTTGAAAAAATTGTTACACCAAAATTCAATTGGGCACCAACTCGATCATGTAACATTCCTAGTAAATTAGGGTCATGCTAGGATACCAGTACATGAATACTATTATGTGTGCACCCATGTTTCGCACTAAAAAACTAAGACACTAATCATCTGTGCGACATAGACGGTTATCGTCTCTGTTTGTTTATGCAAAGTATAGATGCGCTCATGTGGTGACACCCTAGCATTATTCAATAAATTATGTCATTTATTAAGTACTGAGTGACAAAATCAAGCTATGTCATTCCAACGTCAAATAATTTCTTGTCATTTTGTAGATGTTTGTGTTGGCTCTTTAAGAGAGGATTTTACCATCCAAGACTAACCATCCATGATCTTGTAGTTACATGAGAAAAAGCTTTGACAAGGAGCTATAAACATGGACTCATTTTCCAATAAACAAGCAAAACCAACCATCCTCTAAATAGGTATCTATATGTACCACCCTCACACCCTTCACAAACTTTTTATTCTCTACAAAAATATAATGTGTTTCTATATCTATTGTTGATTCAATTCCCTAAGTAATAATCATACAAAGTATTAGTTTATTGAATTCCTATATATTATATAGGAAGAAGAATAGTATAATAGCAATTGTATAGACAATAATCAACCATGGCGACCCCTTCATTCCAAAACATTTTCTACATTCTTTTCACCTCTTCGTTATTTTCAAGTTCATTCTTGGGCAACAAGGCCCACGCATTCCCTGACGGAGACGCTCTCGCCATCCCAGAATCTTCTCCCCTCATGTACGCATCCCCAAAAACCATCGCCGAGCCCCCTTCAGTAGGTGGTTCTCGCGATGATGCCTTGCCTGAGGGAGATGGCTGGGATGGCGCCCCAACCCCTTTAGAAGGTGGCTCCAACGATGATGTCCTGGACGAGGGAGAGGGTTCTTGGGGTGCCCCGACCCCTTCTAGCACAAACTCTTTTGTTAGTGTCCCCGTTGTTAAAGACACCCCAGCCGTGAACATGTTCGTGCAGTCGGCCATGGTGGCCTCCATGTCAAAGACGGAAGACTTCATCCATGACGTGATCGAGAAGCGTCTGAAAGACCCAAACACCGACGGGGTGAGGAAAGAGTGCCTGAAGATGTGCAAGGACGTGTACGAGGATTCAATGAAGGCAATGAAGAAAACAGTGGAGGACACAAAGGATGGAAATCTTTACAAGGCGAACGTAGACATGAGCGCCATGTCCACTGACATTGACACGTGTAAGGATTGCATGGGACATGTTTACAACAAGAACGACCCCGAGTTTAAGAAGTTCTCCGCTTGGATTGACGGCATGGCAAACGATTGCCTTGACAAGATAACCGGACTAGGAGATTAATAATATCCATGGGGATATGTACTTCCAGTTAGAAAGCAGAATATAGAGTATGTACTACCTTATTTTATTGCACATTAAGAAGTGCAAACTTACACAGTTACACTAGTTATATAGGCTAATGAAAGAAGAAGAAAAAGATCATAATGTTGGGTAGGAAATGTGGAAGTAGTTATGTATTTATTGAGGGTAAGGATTTAATTAGATTTGACAACTTGTATACTCCATATCTGAAAAATCAATGGAGATTAGTTTTACAACTTTTATAATTTTTCTAATGCCAAGGGATTGACCAAAACTATTTTGATCTTAAAATGACCCGGGTCACCTACGGTGGCCCGTTAGTAAAATTGGTGGTTCCTCCTTGTCCCCAGCACCCCACGAAACCCTCATGTCCCCCTCCCCCCTAGATGGGAAAGAGTGTAGGGGAGGGGGGTTAGGAGTTAAAACCATCACTTTATCAACGAAACACCATAGGAAACCAAAATGCCCGAGTCATTCTGAAGTCAAAAGATCCTTGCCACAAATAAACTTATAAACAAAGAGAAACACTGACTAATACTTTGTACCAAATAAGCTCAAACATTGGCACTGACATGTTGGTACAAACGAAGGCCGCTAAATCATTAAGGAACCAAATCACCAATATGGAAAGCTGGTTGGAACTCTGATCAAAATTTAAATTGACAATTTTCACAACAACAAAAAAAAGACCAGAGTTAGAGTTCTGTTTCACAGCTCAATCTTCATTATCATATTACCAACTACACACAAACAAGCACTATGTACATTGTACATCACTACTGACTGCTAAGAATAGAACTTGTACAACACCTGAATCACTCGGAATACGGACCATTCTTGGTGCACACAACTTTTCACATCAAAGAAAACTTTGAAACACAACTTGTGTGTGGATGTGACTCTGTGAGCGGTGTGCTGACAGCTACACACAAAAGTTGTAATTGAAATCTTTCTTTGGTGTCAAAACTGATGCCAAAACTGGTGTGCACTTGATTCAATTTTAGCAATATACAGAACCAAAAAAGGGGTATGAAGTGCCTTATTCCGGAGCACAGTATCCCAAATCTTAGAAGTTGCTTCCTATATAAGAAATCCATCACTACGACTGCACACATTCAGTATATAGAAACTGGATTTAAACTTGTGTGCTTGTAAGGCATCTCCAATGCCCAACGAGAGGTCCCTTGTACAAAAGTAATAGCAAACCGGGGCAGTTGCTCGGCATTCCAAACGTATACCTAGATTGAGTAAAAAATAATAATTATATTCAGGCTACAGATAAAGCGATGCGGAAGATAGTATTTTACATCAAACTAATATTTCTAAGCCCAGGAATACAATTAGGGAAGAAAGGTAAAACACAGGAACACCTGCACCTTAAATTCCATTAATGAAGTTGAAAATGATGTACTCACTTGTATCGGCGTGCTCTCTTTCTCCAAAAGAAAGAGGGTACTATCCACTGGAAAAAAAGATATTTGAATTATATCAGAAAATTTGAAAGGCTTGAATCAGACTATAAGCCAGATAGTTTGTAACGCAAAACAATTAAAAGATAAACAATGCCTGACTTTTGTTAGCCACAAATGGTGTGTTCTTGACACAAAAAAAAACATAAATGGTTACGGAATGTCAGCTTAGCTTTGGTGATCGAATTGCCTTGATGAAGGTAAAACTATCAGAAAATTGAAAGATTAGAATCAGACTTATAAGCCAGAGAAATAGTATGTGATGTAAAGCTATTAAAAGACAAAAGCCTGAACTTTGCCATCCACAAATCGCATGTTCTTGACAAAAAGAAAAGACAGATAGTTGCAAAATGTAAGTTTAGCTTAGGTGATCGAATTGCCTTGATGAAGGTAATGCGGGATTACCTTAAGCTGCTTGGTTCGATTCAATTTGTAGAACATTGAATATTTCATATTGCAAGCAAGAATTCAGTTCGCATGACTTTCACTTGTACTTTAGCTTGTTATGAAACATGTATTCTAACAAAAATGCTTTCGGATTTTAGTATTATAGTATTACATGAATTAATAGCTACACATTTATCAATACAACGGTGTATACAATAAAGTATATTACACACATACACATGCATTAAGACAATGCACACACGTTCTTTCCTGCTAGGAATTTCATATTTGATTTTTTTGATCGCACGTTAAACTTTGACTACTGACATATCATATGAAAAATACGGAGTAATTTATTACTCCCTATGTCCTATATTTTTCTTCCATCCCTTTTCGGGTGTCCCATATCTTTCTTCCATTTTCCTCTTTAGCCAAAAAAAAATACAATAAAGATTGCATTTCTACCCATAACTCATTTAATCCCATCCTTGTCACCTTGTCACCCCCAACTTGTCATTCCTCTATCAGATCTCGTCCTCTCTGTGACAGAGCACCCCCCCCCCTCTCTCTCTTCACCTGATACTGGAAGCGCGGAGGCAGTAGCATGCCCTGGCATTGCCTGGAAGAAGATGCTTGCACTATGTTTTCGTTTCTCTCTAGTCTGGACCATTATAGCCCTTCGTATGCTGGTGGCGGAACAAAATACACATTACTTTGGACATGGACTAGTGACCCCTTGCGACCTTACTTAACATGAAGGCAAAATAAAAGAAGATGCAACAATCTCTAATTGTGTGCACGCAAGTAGAAAAGAGAGATCTTGACCAAGTTGAGGCCAAACAGATCAATAGCATTATTTGAAATTTGAAGATGTTTCATTCCCTCTAGCTGAATGCTTTGTTCTAAAAAGCATTAAAAGAATGCAGAGTAGGACCTAGCATCAAGGCATGCCCTTTGCAGGTCAGATAGATCATAGAGACGATAAGGCAACCGAAGGTACTTCATTGTCAGTGAAACTCTAGGCAGTGATTGGTGTTATACATGTTGAATGAGTCCAAGGGAGCCAAAGTGATGAACTGAGAAATGAATTGACATGTCACAATGTTAAAAGCCGATACACGCCTTTTCTGGGACCAAAGTTTGAATATGGGGCTTGCCCGCCAAGGAAAACCCTGGTCTAAACTTCAAAGTAGGTAATGTTAAATGAGAAATCCAAGGGAGATAAATTGATGAAGAATCAATCAAAGCATGGTTCTGCTGCAATGACCAACCTCGTGCAGTAACACGACTTTTTTGGATTGTTATCCAAAAAAACACTCAAATAGAGTTGTCTAAGTGGGGCTGTAAAACCCCGGATACTGCCTTTACCTACCACGCAATACAGGAACTAACTTTGTAATGTTGCAATGTCGAATACCGTCCAGTTTTTTTTAGAGTTTCAGAGATTTTATTTTCGAAGAGTTGTCTGCACTGTTAGGTTAATAGATATCCCCAAGATTTTGCCTGCACATTGGTTTTGGATTGTAACCTCATCCAGAAATGAACGAATTTCATAATTTCAGGTAGACTTTTGGCTTGTATACATTTGATTTCTTTGCTGAAAGTCATCATTAATTGGTTTGATCTCTCCAAGGATAATGTGTTTATGCTAATTGAAGGGTTGAGCGGAGTGCTTTGTTAGACAGATAAACCACTGAAGGTTTATTTTCAAATAAAGAAAGCTACAGCATGTGAGGTAGAAGACCAATCTCAACAGCTCAACATTTTACTTTTTCTACAACTGAGTGAAGGGAAGTAGGAGCCACATCCTGAAAAGGTGGAGGCATTACTTCCATTACCGTACACATTCTTTCCACTATTTTAGGGCTTCAGTTAACTACAATCCTCTGTATTTTTAGGTCACCAGCCACAATGCTGTCATAAATAGTCTAGGTGGTTTTCCTTTTAGGGACATCAGAAAATTATTGAATTCATGTATTGTCCATGAGATTTGTGAATTTGTTGCTCTCAAAGTGAACTTGTTGGAGAGTTGGTATCCCTAAAATTGGATTTTTTTCTTCTATTTCAATATATTTACATATATGTTTCATCTTTGTCAGTTTCTTCTTTAAGCCATTTTTTATCCGTTGCTGGGATACAAAATGGTTAATTCAACACAGAATACACCAAACAGGAATCAATTCCTATTAAAGTCAGCTGAAATGTGGTTTGAAAATTAGATGCAACAAAAATAAGCTTTGCAAGGTGAAAGAGGACAAAATAGCAAAAAGCAGAAACAATTTGTTGAAAAATAATCATATCCGTAAATTTTCAGATTCAAGAATAATAATCTTTAAAGAGTACTAACCCTAGAATGGATTTAGGGAAGTGTTTCTTAATCATTCCATAACGAACGTGTCACCACTTTGAATTAGAAAGACTGATAAGGCCCTCATGTATTTGAAATTAGTATATATATGCACATTTACATGATGCAAACACGACGAAATTATAAGGAATATTATGAACATCAATGTCAAAAATAAAATACCTTGAATACTGATATGAATGAAAAGCTCCAGGTTATAGATGGCTTCCTCACATGTGCCCTCCTTGCAGGTGAAATGTCTTTGCACAACTGCTGGGCAATCTCCTTCAGCAACACGAGCTGAGCTTTCTCAGTCTGCATTGTAATAATTGTCTGCCTCATAGACTCCCTATCAGCCTCAAGTGATTGAAGCCTTGCATACAGCTTTATTACATCGGGATTTTCCAGATCAGTGTGATTCAATGAATCTCTTGGATTTGTAGTATACATATCATCTACCTCTACAAACGTTTTCGGATCTGTAACACCATTGTATGATGTCCCTTGATAAACGGAATCAATTGTGTAAACTCTGTCACTTATAGCAGTGTCATCTGCATCTTCAACTTCAGTTATATTTTTAACTTCCTTCAACTCTGGGCATTCTTTTGACTCTGAAACACCTATTTTCCTTAAACTTCCACCAGACTCTGGAGACTGTGCTACCAGTTCATCATCGGCATCTTGGTTAGTTGCAAGAGATGTGCGAATTATCACCTTTTCAATCATGTCATTCTCGTAAAATGCAACGTCTCGATGACCTGTCCCTGGACTCTTCTCCAACTGGTTGATCCTATATTCCAGATCTCGCAATTGATCTTGGGAAGGTGGGATTTCCCTTGACACATGTTCCTCAACATCCACAACCCCATTATCAACGTCATAGTCGTCAACATGGTTCTGATTGAAGCATTTTATTACAGGATAACTGGAGGGAGGGAATTCAAATTCACCATCCGACATCTCAGGTTTATTGTCATTCCAGCTCAAATGACCAGATTCTTTATAAGCCACTGCTTCAGCCTGGGCCTCTGTGAACCTACAACTCATAACGCTGTGTTTGTTTAGCTGCATGTCACATGCCAACGAATGAATTGTTTGCTCCCTCATGTACAATATGTTCTCCAGAGCAGCTAGCTCCTGCTGATCATGGGCAATTTTCTCCTCTGTAAATCTCTTAAATTGCCGAAACTCCATTTGAATCTCTGATTTTTCTCTTTGCAGCCTCAAGATCATTGACATTGCCTCATTGGCTGCCGAGCAGGCAGCACTCCTCTCCTCGTCCAACTCCATTCTTAAGTCTTGAATTGTCACCTGCTGGCTGCAGACCATCTCACGAAGAGCAACACACTCATCTTGTGCATCAACCCTTGCCGTCTGAGGTAAGACCCTCTTAAACATTGCATCATCACATTCATCCTGTTTCCGCTTCACAGAACGTAGCCAGGTACCAGAAACAGGCACATTCACCAAAGCACAGCTGCATCCGCAGTCGCAGCATTTGAACTGGTTACTCAAGCTGAACTCACTCTCCGAATCCATTCTCTCATAAACAATTAACAAATCCCCCAATCCCAAAATCCACAATAGCAGGATGAAACAAAATGAAGCCCACGCACAGCAAAGCTCAGGCTGCTTTCTCTACAATTAGAGATTGAAAATAAGCAAGACCCTCAATTGTTTCAACTTCAAGAAAATTCCTGCAATGGTAACAACATAAATACTATAAATTCTCAACCAAGAAAACCCCCCGAAAAGACTAAACACGCAAAGAGAGAAAGAGAGAGAGAGTGTGTGTGTGTGTGATGTACCTCGAAATAGGAGAACGCGAAATGGAGAGATTTCTTGTTCTGGGGAGCAGGAAATTGGAGACGATAACAGTGAAATCGAAAAATAGAGAGAAGCGGGAAAAAAACAAGAAAAATCAAGCCGGAAAAGAGACGAAAGGATTGTGCAAGACTCTTCGAACCCTAAAGAGGGGAATCATAACGTTGCCTCGTGTTCCGCGTCCGTGAATTCGTAACAAGAATTTCTTGAAGAGAGGGAAAGAGAATCAAAATTGGCATTGGTATATTCGGCGGGTCGGATCTGATGTGGTCAAGATGAGCAAAGGGAGCTGCAAATTTGAAATTGAAAATGCAGTGAATTTGGTTGGAAGGAGAAGTGTATGGGCGGCCACGCCGGGCACTAAACCGGCGGCTCTGGGAGAGACTGCTCAACTGCCGTGGCCGAATGCAAAGCCAATAGTTCTCCCTTTTTTTTGAGAAAAAAACAAATTAAGACAAATTATTTTGGGATTTTCAAGTAATAATTCACATGTCTCATTTTTTTTAATTTTTTTGATAAAAATTCTCGGGTGCCACTTCATCCAAAACATGCTCCGGGATCATTAAAGTTTTCGGTATTATACTTTGAGAGGTACATTTCGTTTATTTAGAAATTAGAATTGAAAGCTTATTTACTTTAACAAATTGAAATTTTTTTATTAAATTTGATGAAATAGTGATTATCTAGGTAAAATTTAGTATTTGTCCAAATAATGGAATATTTAATCCTAACGGCAACATAGACTGAATGTATCCTCTAGATACATTAACGTAAATTTTAAAGATCCCCGATATATTTTGAATAATGTGAGACCTGAGAGTTCTTACCTAAAAAATATAAAGTTCTAGACAATATATTTCAGATAATGTGGGATCAAGAAGTTGTTACCATAAAATTAAAGTTACTCTAACGTAACTTTCTAAAAAAATGAATATTGTTGGTGCCCAATACCGCTCTGTATATGGACATTTATATACAAATCTTATTTTTATTTTATAAAAAATACAATAAAATATTCTTTACCTGTTTCTCAACAAATGTTGGGACTCTTTACAAACATATATTTCAAGACTAGAATAAGAAATTTTGTAAATTTTTCAAGTCAAATCTCAAATTTAATTTTGAGACTGAAGGTTAGTTCATTTATTTGTCCCATTTGAAATTATATGTTGTTTATCATATTTGACTAAATTTATTTTTCATTTGTTTTGGAAATTAGGATGAAATATAAAAAATACTACCTCCGTCCCAGTGTATTTGTCCAGTTTGACTTTTTTGAGTCAAACTAGACAAACTTTGAACTTCAATTACTCTCAATTTATATTGCATAGTAGCATAATGAAATACAATTTTAAAAGTTTTCAATACGATAAATCTAATAAAGTCATTTTTTATGTTAAAATACATTACGGTTTTTATTTAATTGAAGCTCAAAGTTTGTCTAGTTTGACTCAAAAAGTCAAACTAAACAAATACACTGGGGCGGAGGAAGTATTTGTTTTTTAGAATTGCTCCATGTTAGACAATAATAATAGTATTACTTGTGGTAGTATTGGTTGTGGTAGTGTTTCATTATTAGTCAGCTTCCTAATCCTATTTGTGTTAGTTTTTTGTATGTTAGTTAGCTTCTATTCTCTACTTCTATTTGTGTTAGGAATTTCTCTTATATATACTCTACCATGAGTTTCATAATTCAAAAGAAGCAATATTATTATTCCAATATTTCAACACCCCAATTAGTACACAAATTTGTACCTTTTCCTTAAATTAAACTAGTATTTTGACCCGTGCCATTCACGGGATCGAATGAAATTTATGTTGATTCTGAATTATTTTAATGAAATTTATTTTTCGGAATAAAGAAAATATAATGTTCACATTATTTTTAATACTACAGATGAAAAATGTCAAAGTAAAATAAAAAATAATTGAGAAACTGAATGTAGAGTTAACAATGTTTATTTTAATACCAAAATTTTTGAAAAACTTCAAGGTATACAACTTTTTTGGTATGGTTGCAAGGGTTTCCATTGTCATCTAGAACCAATATCTTTCATCTTGTCTTTGTCTTCACTCGTGAAACAGTTACATAAAGTTGACCATGTTTAAACACCGACTTTGTTAAAAATAATCCCACAAATGACACTGTTTGGCCTTAACTTTTGTTGATAGTCATAGCAAAACATAAGGCGGCCGGGAATTGTATTCTTTGGAACTTCAAGGATAGTCTCGGATCAGATGGTACCAAATTCTTTCAAGAGGATGTAAACCTTTTCCCCAACTCGATTCCCGAAACCACAATTGCACCGATAACATTATTTCGCAGCTCTCAAACGATTAATCTTGTCCCATTACACAATCCAAATGCTTGGTCAATGTTCCTCAATAGCATAATTGGTACCCCTTTTTTCAAGACTATTTTGTGGTTTGGTATTCTCGAACATTTGATTTTGTACAAAAACTCAAATGTTATCCAATCGCCATCAACACTTACATATGCATCTGCTTGGCGCGAAAAATCAGAAATCAAGTACTCCTTTTCATCACCAAGAATGAGGGACATGACAAATTAATATATCATTTCAACTACTTCGAGAGTTGGTGCTAATAGTGATCTATCCTAATTTATCATTATACAGCAAGTCCACAGTTTTTTTTGAAGTGGTAGTTGAACTTTTCCTTTCATGCAACAAATCGAGAATTCTAGATGGTTTGAATCTCTATATTTTTCAGCTTTTTCTTCATACCACAACAAAGCTCCACAAAATTCACATGCAAATGAGGGATCCCCAAAATAAATTATTTTATAGGAAAAATTAAAAATGATATAACTAATATTTTCCATACATTGCACATATTACATAACTTACACGCTGTACATATAATCAAAACTTACCTTTAATTTAAGCTCCTCCAAATATAGGATTATCTAAAAATAAATCCCTTGTGCTCTCCTGAATAGAGGAATTTTCGACCTTCACATCTAAAATTAAAATATATTGAGTGTATCTAGAATATAAAGTATGTACTATTTGCCTAGATGGGTTGTAATATAAATGGTTTAAACACATTTACCATCATAACTAATATTACCTTCATAAAAATTTATTGCACGTGTTATAAAAGATAAATTGATTCTTCTTTATCTCTTTTGCACATGCAACTATGCTGAGATGGATGCAAAATTATTCCCTGATTGAAGCATTGTACAGATAAAACTTTAAAGTTGTTAAAATTACGTTTTGTGACATTTTAGTACTTCATAAGTAACCCTTCCACATGTTAAAAAATGGATTAATTAAATTTCTTATTCAAAATTTATAAATACCATTTGTCACATCACAAAGTACATTCCTTCTTATGTGTGTGTGACAGTCCGGCGTTGCACCTGACGACGATGTCTTTCCATCTGTACTTGTGATACCCATCATAAAGAAATTGTAAATACGAACCGTAAATTTTTTTTCCTCTATTCACATAAAACATTACCACATAACAAATATTATAAGGTATTCCAAATCAAGTCTAAATTGATGTTAAATTTAGGTTATTTTTAAGGTATTGACTATAGATATGATCAATCTATTTTTTCCCACTATTCACATAAAAGATCACCACATAACAATACAAAGATTTTCCTTTTTTAAAGGTAAATATTGGGTGTTTGTTTTTAATGAATATATTTAAATTTAATCTCATCATCGTGAATTAATTTTTTTAATGAAGATATATTTTCACCAAATTTCTTTTCTGCAAAATGCAATGTAGAAACAATAACTATGAGAAATATCTGCACTAAATATCACTAAAATATAAGTCATTTCCCATTATAAGGCTTGAACTTTTTATCATTTAAATAACACTTATTTTAATAATGTCCTGTGATGGTGAACATTTATTTTAATAATGACTAATGGACAATGACTAAATGTGCTACATTGGAAAATAAAAAACATATGTTACTATTTAGGGAAAGTCATTATGTTTTTTCCACTCTTTTAGTTTTATTTAGCTTCTTCTGATTCTTTTCAATAGTGTTTAAAAAATTATTTGCATGCATTACTTGTATTATTATTATTATTATCATCATCATTATTATTATTATTACTATTATTATTAGTATTATTATTATTATTATTATTATTATTATTATTATAACTATTATTATCGAAAAGATTCTAGAGCCACTTACTCTATAGTGGGGGTTTACCAGGGTGTTGAGGGTAGGAACTATTAATTTTGTGAACGGTGTACCGTAGATACTTCTATTGAAGCTAGTGTCATCTAGAACCAGCTATAGTGAGTAGATGTAGAACCTCTGTATTATTATTTTACGAAACTAATAATGTTTTTACATGCAAATGCATATACAGCGAATAAAAAAGTACCCCGGAGTAATACTTTTCATCCATATTTATAAAAACAAAAATGTTTAACTTTAGATGGAGAAAGTATATGCTTTTTTTTAATTTCGGTTTTTTATTTCAAAGATAAACCAATTTGAATTTTAAAACATTATAAAGAACAATTATATATGAAAAAAGCTAAAAAATGATAATATGCATTGATGCTCATCAGCTCATGTTGATTGGAATGCATATCAATGCTCCTTTTTAATTAAAAAATGAACGGAAAATATTACGAACCGATGCGGTGTGTGTGCAATCTTTTGAAATGATAGACATTTTTTTAAATAAGTTTTGAAAATAAATGAGGAATTCATTCCTTTTTTCAATCCATTTAGAGCGCTAGAACTATTTTAATATATTCTATTAAAAAAATATATGTTGTCATTCGATACTTGAATCTATAAATATATGAATATCAAGATTATATTTTTTTTCAATTATCTATTTTTACTATTATATATTTTCTCAATGAAAATTATGTTCCAATAAAGAAAAATAATGGCTCAAAAAGTCCTACTAATAAAGAGAATGAAAACAATTCTTTTTCAAATTTATATTTCGTTTATGAAAATACTTTCATTTAAAAAAAAAAGTTTTATCATTTTAAACACTATTTCTATCATAAATAAATACTTTTAAACACTATATATCCTGTGATGTAAATATATATATACTATCTCAAACAAAATTTATATATTTAAGGAACTTTTAATTATTAAAAAAGTTATGGAATACATTAAACCAAAAAGTTTTCATATTAAAAATTATCTAATATACATTAATTCATAATGCACTAAATTTATTTAATAAATTTCTCATCTTTAATTAGTGGTATAAGATGAGCTGTTCCAGAGTATATTTTTGCTCAATATATTTTCATACAAAGAATAAATTAATAATTTTTAAAAAACTATATTTTACTCAAAAGACTTTTAATATGATTTTTATTTTTATGAAAAAAAGACCCGGGCTAATC